TTTAAGAACCTGACTGATTTTTCCTTGTTTTTAGATCCAAGGGGGTTGGATCTGTATTCACCAGGGAATTGGTGAAGAGTTTCTCAAGGCTTCCCAGGGAAGGGAATCCACTTGGGAATGGTGGCAGCAGACCAGATCTAAGCTGGTAGTTAAGCTTAGAAGTTTTCATGCAGGCCCCCACATTTGTACCCTAAAGTTCAAAGTGGGGAAGCAGCCTTGACAATAAACAATTTAAATTTTTTTCACTGAGAACTTAGGCTGAGATCTGCTCATAAAAACAGAGTTTTGGGGCTTTATGTGGGTGGTGGATAAGAAGGTGAAATCAGTCCCTACAAACTAGCATCAGGGTGCTGTGCCACACTTTCCATGCAGCTATTATTTCAGCCTTCTGCACCAGTTATATGAGGCACAGAGTTCTGCTGGAGCCCTGTTGTGGCCTTCGTACCAACCTATGTGGGACTATCATGGAACTATATATAGGAGGTGTGTGGGCATTCCTGTATAGCTGCTTCAGCAGCAGACCCCTCTGTACAGGGTATAAATTATGTGGCCGGGGGGCCTTGAGTAGGCTGTCCATACCATGCGTGAATTTCACTCATGAAGAAAGGAAAAGTTAAACCGGGGTCAGGATGAGAAGCTAAGGGAGCAAGTGTACAGCAACAAGAAAAACATATGGCAAGCTAATGGTGAATTCATGGTGAGAGGTGCAATTATTCTGGGGGTGATTAGATTTCTCCGTCCCAAAGACTTAAAAACGAAACATCTAAAATAGAGGTATTTAGGTTAGCTTTAGAAAGGTCAGCTTTGATACAACCGTTACTGTGTTAAATACTGTCTGCTGTTTGGAAGAGCAAAAGCACAGTTCCTATTTGTGCTAAAACAGGAGAATAAAGATTAAAGGAATAAAGCTCACAAATCAATGCCTCTGGCTGCCATGTGACATCTCCTAACAATCCTATCCTAAGACAAGTCCTAGTTATTAGCAATAGTGTGTACTTCAGAATAAGATTTTTCTTTAGCTTATATTCTTTTGCTCGTCTAGGGAGGTCAGTCTCAGTCTTATTACTTATCAGCCTCAGCCAAACATGCCAAGTAGCAGCACGACTAGTACACCATGCAGTACCTGTCATAAAGGTTATTGTGCACCTTTTCCTATTAGAGAAGAGGATCTAAAACAACTATGTTGGGCCAGGAATTGGTAAGTTCCCTATGGCATCAGAAATTTGAGTGCGTCTGATGTTTTAAAATACATCTTTTCCTGGTAGGTAATTGCCCACTTGCAGTCTCTCAGAACCAGAACCAAAATCCAATAAAATCAATGGGATCTTTCCATTGACTTCAGTGGCCTTTAGATCACGTCCTCAATGAAGTCTTTTATCTGTGGTGACGTCTTAAAGAAAAACTTATTCAGGCTTGGTACCAACAAGTAAGAAAGGCAGCCTTTAGAAATTTGTAAATTTTTCAGTGGTTTAAGCTATTTCTCCAAATTTTTGATGTCTATAAAGTTGCAGCAGTTTATTTACATTATTGAAAGAGGGAATCACTGATTAAAACTATAATTAAAACGCTAACTTTTCAACATTTTTTTTTTTTGTAAAACAGTTGAGTGAAGAGTTGGCCATTCAAAGTGACTGAAAATATCAAAGAGGAGACCAAAAAGGAGATCTGCTTAGTGTGACATCTCTTCAGAACCGTTCCACAAAGTGCAATTACACGACATTCTGAGCATCTTTGATAAAAAGCCTGACCCTAGGACAATCCTTTTCCAAATATAGCATTTTGTCACCTAAAATCCAGATCCTGGCAGTGAAGTAAATGGCTCAACTTCCCCCTGGAGTTCGCTTCATCGTTTTATTTACAAGAGATCAGTGGTAAGTTTTCAAGTATATCTTACAGACATCCATCTTGGACAATATCAGATTTTATCTGAGAAAGATTATTCCTTTGACTCAGTTTCTCTAACTTCTTATTTCTTAGAATATAAAACAAGTCTTTGTTAAAGAAAATGTTGATTTAATTGCAAAATGAAGAGCATGGCTAAAGATTTTTTAATCAGGAGATTTGACGCTAGAACAGAGTGATATAGGGGTTTGGAATACATTTCCATCACCATTAGTTTTGTACGCTAGAGAATAAGTACTTCACATGTTATGTGCTTGGGGAGGTGAATCACAGCCTTTTATTTTGAGTTGCTTGGTTTATGTCTGTGAAAAAATCAATCTGTTTATCCCGGACCCAGATCTTCTTTCTTCTCCTGGATGATATCATAATTTTATTTGTAACAGTGCCTCGCACAATAAGATCTTGATCTTGGTTGATGCTACTGTAAAATAAATAATTAATAACTATATTTGTCCTTGGAAACTAAAATCTGGAAGTCTTTTGACAACTTTTTAATTCTGTTTTGGTCTTGTCAGCTCTTTTTGTGCTTTCAGGGGAGGGGGAGAGAGAGAGAGAATTTGTTACTCTTATCTTGAAATCACTTATTTACTGTAACAAAGGAAAGAAATCAGTACTTCCCAATTGAATGATTTTTTTCATGCACGTCATCTAACAGAGCTTCAAGGCAAGAGTCACTGCAGTTTATTAAATGAAATCTTCAGTAATGGGCATAACAACTGAACACCCCAATGTAAGTTGTTATACCAAAACCCAGATGGTGTGTTTGGGTAGCCTTACTTGCAGAGTCTGCTGTGCTGGTTCTACAAGCTAAGCAGGGTTAAACATAGTCAATTCTTGGATAAGAGACCTCCAAGAAAATCCAGGAAATGCCTGTGCTGGAGGATGTGTTAGCAATTCAGTAACTTGTATGTTTGCCTCTCAGTCAGTACTTGACCGATGCCTTTGAATAGCATTCGGGTCTGCTGTATTTCTGGAGGTACCATCCATTAGACAACACCCAAAACTGAAGTCCTGCCTCCTTGTGGTCACTAAGGATCCTGTGGTGGTTTTTGCAGCAGGAGGCATGTTGGCCATGTGTCTTGGCGCAATACCAAGTATACGGTATTTACAGTGTGCTGTGCCTACTTACACATCTATTGGAGATTTAAATGGATACATTCTACTTGTTCATGCTTTTGCTTATATATGCAGACAGACAACCGGATGTAATGTAGGATGCTGAGCTGAAGACATACAGCATGTAGCATTGTATAATCTATCAGACCGTATACTTAACAGGTATTGGTAAGCAAAGTAGGAAAAGAATCTACTATAGTATAACAAATCTTTCAAACTACTCTTCTCCATTTAAAAAACTGCACTAATGGTTATAAAGTAGATGTGAATGAAACCATCAGTGTAAAGGCAAGCATTCTCAAACTTTTTTATAGGGTGGATCACATTTCATTGTCATAGGAACACAACTCTCACATTTCCAATCAGAACACATTCATTTGGCAACTACAATTGCTTATGTGGAAAAGCAATAATAGGAAAATAAGTAACATTATTTTTCTTTTGTTTCTCTTTTAATATGCATTAGCAACTGGAAAGAGAGAAGAGCCAGCACCATGTGCTCTGTGAACAACCAGTAGTCCCCACACCCTCGTTTGTGAACCTCTGGGGGTAAAGGTGTCACAGGTGCAAAAATGATGTTTTGCTCTGATGCTGGCTTAAATATAGAAACTATTGAAATTGCTCAAATTTATACCCCAATATACAGTAGTTCGAGTTAATTTAGAGTCTCTTTAGCTTCCAGGGTTTATGATAACATGAAGTGAAAAAAAATGTGAAGAATACTTTGAAATATTTTGTTTTATTTAAGATGGTGGTAAATATAAACCTAGTGATTGAAATCACTTAGAAATATTAAAATAAATACTGATTTTTCTTTTGTTACAGGTGCAGGGCCTTCATTTTTGTTCTTACCTTTTTGTTATATGCTAGTTTCCACTTGTCAAGGAAACCTATTAGTATAGTTAAGGTAAGCAACAATGAATCATTTTGTTTAAATGGCCTCCTAATTTTCTCAAACAGGGAAGTATACTTTTGTGTGTGCTGGTTTTTTTTTTTTCAAAGACCGTGTTAAAGTTTAACCCACAATGCTGTAAAAACAAGTGCCGATAATTACAGTTGTCGTACCATAGTTCCATGCTATACATTTTTGGTGAGACCACACCTAGAATACTGCACATACTTCTGGTTTTAGGCCCTCACATGAGTTAAGCTAAGTACATGTGTAAGTGTTTGCAGGATCAAGGCTTGAAATCTTAGAAGAGTTGCTCAGAGCTGAGGAATCTATCGAGACTGAGTAAATTGTGTGCATTAGATCTTCAAACCGATTTTGGTTCTTGTGCAGTACTATGCATGAGCTAGTGCAGTGATGTCAGAGAAATATAATGTATTTCATTTTCACCTTTAGACTTTGGCAGTACATTAACCTGAAGTTATTTCTCATGTATATTTTTAACTTTATTGCTCAACAGCCTATTCATATTAATAAAAAAAAAAAAAAGCCTTGCTCCATACAGTAAATAAATAGCATTGGACCTGTTATCAGAATGCAAATTGCTTAGATGTGGTTTCATTGTTTACATTTCAAATTGTCAAGTGTTTCATTAACCTTTTGATTTTATTCCCACTAAGAACCTGTTTACACAAGGGATAAAACTGACGTTAGCACTGTTTCTCTGATCTGTATAGACTGGGATCGTCCTATTGAAAACCATGTTATCTTACTTTAGATTATATTTGGTTGGGGTTATAAAATAGCATTTTTTAAAGAGAGCATAATTCTCAAGAATGAAGTTTCCATCCATATTGCTCTGGAAATCAGTGTTAGGTATTGGTAGCTTGGCCTTAAGCAGTGTAAGCAGTTACTTGATCTAATTAAAAACTAATAAACTAAGGGTACATCTACACTACCCGCCGGATTGGCGGGTAGTGATTGATCTATCGCGTCTAGTGTAGACGCGATAAATCTATCCCCGATCGCTCTGCCGTCGACTCCGGAACTCCACCACGGCGAGAGGTGGAAGCGGAGTCGACAGGGGAGCGGCAGCCGTCGATCCCGCGCTGCGAGGATGCAAAGTAAGTGATTCTAAGTCGATCTAAGATACGTTGATTTCAGCTACGCTATTCTCGTAGCTGAAGTTGCATATCTTAGATCAGGCCTGCACAACATGCGGCCCAGGAGCCGCATGCGGCCCGCGTGGGCTCACTGTGCGGCCCGCGGGGGTTGAGTAGATGGGCTCACTGTGTGGCCTGCAGGGGGGTGAGTAGGCAAACGGTTGGTGAGGGAGGGGGGCTGAGGAGGCGAGTGGGCGAGCAGTGGCGGGGGGGCAGGTGAGCCGGCGAGCCAGAGGGGTGGGGCGCTGAGGAGGCGAGCGAGCAGGCAGTGGCGGGGGTGAGTAGGCGAGCCGGGGGAGGGGGGCTGAGGAGGCGAGTGGTGAGTCGGTGGCTGACCTGTTCTACTGATCTGATCTGGCTCCCATCCCCTCTCCCAGGGCCGGCTCCAGGCACCAGCAAAACAAGCAGGTGCTTGGGGCGGCACATTTCTAGGGGCGGCATTCTGGCACCGGCCATCATAGGTGCCGACTCCGGGGCATGGGGGAAAAGTGCCCTCACCGCCCCAGCTCACTTCCGCCTGCTCCCCTGAGCACGCCGCCGCCGCTCCGCTTCTCTCCCCTCCCTCCCAGGCTTGCCGCGTGCGAAACCGCTATTTCGCGCAGCAAGGCTGGGAGGGAGGAGAAGCCGAGCGGCGGGCACTTGGGGGAGGCGGTGGTGGTGGTGGAGAGGAGGTGAGCTGGAGTGGGGAGTGGTTCCTCTACCCCCCATTACTTCCTGCACCCCCCACCCTAGCTCACCTCTACTCCGCCTGCTCCCCTGAACGCGCCGCTGCTCTGCTTCTCCGCCCTCCCTCGCCTGAGAGGGAGGGGGGAGAAGCGGAGCTGCGGTATGCCCGGGGGAGCAGGCGGAGCAGAGGTGAGCTAGGGCGGGAGGTCATGGGAGGCCCGCAGGAAGCAATGGGGGGGGGGGAAATGCGGCATGCTGGGGGAAGAGGTGGTGCTGGGGATTTGGGGAAGGGGTTCGGAAGGGGTGGAGTTGGGGTGGGGCTGGGGGTAGAGGGGCACGAAAAAGAAAGGGGAGGAGGCCAAAAAATTTTTTGCTTGGGGCAGCAAAAATCCTAGAGCCGGCCCTGCCCTCTCCAAGGATTCCAGCTGTCTGCAGGTGCCTGCCTTCCACACCTTCCTCATTCACACCTCATTCGTTCAACAGGGCAATTGATTACAAAGTGGGGGGAAGATCTTATTCTACTTCTAGCAAAAAGACAATTTTTCTTTTACCTTAATTATAATACCTTAGGGGCCTGCTATAACATATTACCGAGGTTCAATACTGTTGTTTCGGTGGGGCGGCGCTGGGGAAGGAGGGTTTGTTTCCGCGGGGCAGGTGGTGCGGGGGAGGGTGGGTGTTTCGGCAGTGCTGGGGGGGGGTTGTTTCTGTGGGGTGGGCAGTGCTGGGGGGGGGGTTGGCAGCGCTCGGGGGGTTTCGGCCCTCAGCTGTTTTCTTTGGAGTAATATGGCCCCCACCGCTTTACGAGTTGTGCAGGCCTGTCTTAGATCGATCTCCCCCTAGTGTAGACCAGGCCTTTAATCCCTTCCTCCCTGTATCTCCTTTGAAGTTTCCTGCAGCTTGATGTGTCAAACTATATTTTCTATTTTTATTTTTTGACTTTGTGGTGGTTTTTTTTTTTTTCCATTTTTTTTTTAATACTGATCCTTCCAAAAGCTGATTGATTCCCCCCCCCCCCCCGCCCAAGTCTGTTTCTGCAGTGTCCGTATACAGGGCCACCCAGAGGGGGGGGACAAGTGGGGCAATTTGCCCTGGGCCCCGCAGGGTCCCCCGCGAGAGTTTTCAAGGTCCCCCACGAGAGTTTTCAAGGGCCCCCACGAGAGTTTTCGGCGGGTCTTTTGCAGCAGGTCCTTCAGTGCCGCCGAACACACGCGGAGCGAGTGAAGGACCCGCTGCCGAAGACCCGGAGCTTCTTCCGCTCCGGGTCTTTGGCGGCAATTCGGCGGCGGGTCCTTCACTCACTCCAGGACCTGCCGCCGAAGTGCCCCGAAGTCCCGGAGCGGAAGGACCCCCGCCGCCGAAGACTCCAGGCCCCCTGAATCCTCTGGGCGGCCCTGTCCGTATATTTTACTGTTCTGATTCCTTTTGGGTGTAATGATACGCTAACTCATGGGCTCCAATCCTGCAACGTGATCTGTACACGCAGATCCCTACATGTATGTGGAGTCCTGGTTATGTCAGTGGGACTCTTCACAGACCTAGAAGTCTGCTCATGCACATCAGCTTGCAGCAGTAGTTGTGTGCTTGGGGATGAGGAGACATGTTTAAGATATAAACTGAAAAATAAAATGTTCTTTGTTGAAGGAAAGGGCATTGCAATGTTCTCAGATGACATAAGGACACATTCTGCCCTTATTCACAGCAATGTAAATCCAGAGTAACTTCACCGAGATTAATGGAGCTATTCCAGATTTACACCTGCATGTCTGAGAACATCACTTACATATGAGCATTTTTAGAAAAATATACCATTACTCCTTTGTATATTGTGAACATTGTGAACAGATCATTTTTTTCCTTGGGTGGGGGGTGGGGAAGAGGTATTCTGCTTCTGTTTGATATGTATGGTATCACGTACCACTGAAGTATGCCTGTTGACTTCTATGGGAGCTTCTGGGCAAACTGGGCCATTTCCCCAGCATGTTGAGTAGTGTGCTGTTGGAGATGCCATCGTTACAATGAGATGTAAAATCCAAGTCCTGGCGTATTTCTGATCACCAAAGTTCCCATAGCACTTGTAATGAGAATAGGGGTGTCGAACCCTGCTGTGTCAATCCTGGTCGTTACATTTCACATACCTAAATTTCCCTTGCAGTTTCAATGGGGTGTGTTTTTTTTCTCTTCTATCCCTGTCCGAAACTTGGCTGTGCTGCATTATATGGGATGAAATACAATACATTGCCGTTGGTGCTGCAAAGATTGACGCACATGCTTAATGTTGTGCACGCTGACTTTGATCGGACTATTCACAGTACTTAAAGTTAAGCAGGTACATAATTGTTTGCAAGACTGGGGCTATAGTTTTTGTCAGTTTTGGAGCCCAGTCCTGCTCCCAGTAAAGCCAATGGCAAAACTTCCATTGATTTCTAATAGGTGTAGGATTGTGTTATTTCAATCTTATACCAGTGTAACTCCCAGCCAAACCTTGTAGGGATCCTTTGGCGTTCATAGTGACACAAAACTGCAGCGTAACAGTGGTTAATCAGGCCTAGTGTTCGTAAAGTGTTTTGGGATCTCTCGGTATGAAAAGCACTGTCACTATAACATTGTTACTAGCCTCACATGTGGTGAAGGGTGTTTCATATATAGGAACTGATCCAAAGCCATTACAATAGATAGTATAGAGATGAGATGAGTGAGATAATCTCTTTATTGGACCAACCTGAAGAAGAGCTCTGTGTAGCTCTAAAGCTTGTCTCACCAACAGAAGTTGATTCAGTAAAAGATGTTACCTCACCCACCTTGTCTCTCTAATATCAGGGCACCAACACAGCTATAACAGCACTGCAAATTAAAAAGAATAGATATACCATTGATTTAAACGGGCTTTGGTTTGGGCCCATAAATAGCTAGATTTGTTAAATTTGCTACTGTATTGTGTATAGCAGGATTCTGTACTGGATGAATTTTATATTGTCAAATTCTCTTTCTACATTAGGGAGAACTACATAAGCACTGTGCTTCTCCAAGTGAAGTTGAACTCAACTCCTACAAAGAATATGCCATCCAGATTCAGCCTGTTAAAAAGTTATCTAATGAGTCTCAGTGTGGTTGGGAGCCATTTGGTGAGTTCATTTGCATGCTAATTTTGTAATAATGATATTTATACAAGTGTTGTACCTTGTTACTTATCACAGGGATTCTTCCCAGGGAAAAACGGGGAGGAGGGGCATGTTTTGTTTTTAATTTAACCTGGCTAATATGTTGTGAGTGACCCAAATGAGATGAAGCTTTAAATGGCAAGTCTCTTACAAGAACTTCTTTTCCAAATAAATTATGAGTTCAGCTGCTGAAGACTAAACTATTACACCTGGTCTTAAACTTTTTGATGGAACAAATTTCAGTTAGAAAATGCAAATTTGTCAGATCTAATTGTTTCATGGGAATGTGGTGATTCCACATATGTTTGCTATGGAAATATGACATAACTGATCATTTTGGCTTTCTCACTTCATTTCATTTTGACATTTATATTTTATCAAATATATTATATTTTATATGGTCCTGATACTATTGAAACAAAACAATTCAATGCTTCCAGAATTTCCAGTCAGTGGAAAAAAACAATATTTTCGAGTTGGAACAAAAACAAATTTTGAAATGTCAGAATTTCCCATGGAATTCTAACCAGCTCTATAAATTGATGCCATGCACATTCCAGAAATGCTGGCACCTTCAAAACAAAGAAAATATGCTCATTTAGAAAACTAAATTGTAATTAAAAGGCTATGTTTTGCTTATTTACAAGTTAATACTGTAATAATTTGAATATAATAACTGAGATTTTGAATAAGTGCTTGATATCTTGTGTTCAGCATCTGATCATAAACAGGGAATGTCAGTAGAATAGAAGATCCTAGTAACTTGATAGCCCACTAGCAAAGGAGAAACTGTTCAATTATTACTAACTAAGACTGTGATCCTGCACTCTCAGCTATGTGTAGGTAGACCCCTGTGTTATCAAGTGGCCTGGTAACCCACTATACATTTGTAGCTCTGGGACTCTAGGGCATACTCCTGAGCACATACCTCTTGTCTGACACCCTTCCTTAGAAAATGGGGTGCCGCCATCTAGCCATCCTAGACCCTGAAAACCAGTGTCTGAGACCCTAGTCACCGGTCTCCCCATTCCCCGTTGCTTACACACACTCAGCATTCCACCTAGTCCATGGGCACTCTGGGGCTCCTAGTTTAACCCTTTTGGGGACAATGTGGCAGTTAAGCAAGGAGCACAGGTTCACCAGAAGAATTTCTTTACCACAGTGACTTTACTGATAAAGCACTACAGAGCTTCGCAAATGACAGTCCTGAAACACACTCTTCTCTAGTCTGTGCTCACACCTTCTTTTGAGTCAATGGTTCATCAGTCGTTCAGGCTGAGCAGAGTTCTCCTTTAAATTCTCCTTACCCTGCTCTTAAATAGGGCCTCTGCTTGTGTGCCATGTGTCATGGTTTCAGGGAAAATGTACCTGCATATTCTCCCTTTGATATTGCAACCACTTGCAGGCTAGTTGGGGACCATATTGTATGAAGTTTATGAATGGTTTATGTATCACGGTGAGCCAGGGAGTGTATGCAAAGCTCCCCAGAGGGTGGCACTCCTCTGGAGGTGTTTGCAGCCTGAGTGATTTGCCTCCATCACCCTTCTACTGCTTTTCATTCCTGGAGGAGCCGGTGGAGTAGCCTGCAATCCCTAGTCTAATGTGATGTAAAAACCATTCATAAAATTACTACAGTATAGTCCCTAACTATACTGGATGCGGTTGCAACATCTGTCACACCACGTGCTCAAACTGGGGGCTGGTCTACACTAGAGAATTAGATTGACCCAGCTACATCGCTCAGGGGTGTGAAAAATCTGTACCTCTGAGTGACATAGTTAAGCTGGCCTACGCCCCATGTAGGTAGCACTAGGCCAATGGAAGAATTCTTTTGCTGACCTAGCTACCATCTCTCAGGGAGGTGGATTTACTACAGTAATGGGAGAATCCCTTCAATCGCTGAAGTAAATTTCTGCACAGAAGAGCTAGAGCAGCACAGCTGCAGTAGTGTTGTAAATGCAGACCTAACCTGAGAATCTCCAGATCCACCAGGCATACTTCCCAACCACCCATGGCCGTCCCCTGTGTAGAAAGACCATTGTTCCATGGAATGGTCCAGCAGTTGAGAATCATTCAAAATTGATAGCCCTGGGATTGCTGTCAGTGTGATGGTCCTTCAGTGAAATGTCAAACACCTTTCCAGGGCTGGGTAGCTGTTGGGAATGTAGTAAAAAGTCTGTCCCTGGACAGAGTGCAGACTAGTGTTCAACACATGGTACAAACCAGAATTCATAATGAGATACAGACATATCTTACTCTGTCACGCCTGGGTGAAGCTCCATTAAAGGGCTCTGTGTGGGTGTAGGGTCTGCACACATGGAGTTCAGTTTATGATTGGGGCCTAAAAGGGTATGTGTGTAACATTCTGATAGACTAGGTCCTGAGGGGGTAAAAACACCTTAAACTTTTCTCCTTTCAGAAGCCCCTGATTGAAAGTTACTGTTGAGTACAGTGTTATATTCAACAGGTTTCTAAAAATAATTAATTTAAAAGCTGAAAATTGCAGGAAATTATGTGGTATTGAACACCATTGTTTTCATGACCTTTTTAGCTTGTGTTTCTTTATGAAGTCAGTCTGTCGCCAGCACTAATTTGAGGCCCAAGTAGTAGTGTTCAAAATGGGGATGGATGGGTGGTAATTCTGACAAGTCCTGATTTTTCAAATGGCTGCCTCCTCTTGTGCATGATCATCTGTGACCCCATTTAGAAAAATCTGTGCATGTTCCTAACTTTAAACATATGAATAGTCCTGTTGAAATTGGTGGAGCTACTCAAATGCTTCAAGTTTGACATGCGTTTTAGTCCCTGGCTGAACTGGGCCTGTGTGCAGTTCATAGATTTTGTGCATAAATCAACACCTGTTTTTTAGCTGAACATTTTCAATCGATAGTCATTCTCCCATCACTGGTCGAGCAACAATGGACATTTTAATTACCATGTCATCTAACCTTACTCCTTTTCATCCAATATGTCAAAATAATGGCCCTGATCCTGAGATTTGTATCTGCATGGATGGTCTCTTGGCATGCAGAGAGCCCCATTGACTCTAGTGGGCTAATAAGAATGGCCATACTGGGTCAAACTGATGGTCCAGCTAGCCCAGTAGCCTGTCTTTTGACTGGGGCAGTGCCAGGTGCTTCAGAGGGAATGAACAGAACAATTAATGAGTGATCATAAGAAAGGCCGTACCGGGTCAGACCAAAGGTCCATCTAGCCCAGTATCCTGTCTACCGACAGTGGCCAATGCCAGGTGCCCCAGAGGGAGTGAACCTAACAGGCAATGATCAAGTGATCTCTCTCCTGCCATCCATCTCCACCCTTTGACAGACAGAGGCTAGGGACACCATTCCTTACCCGTCCTGGCTAATAGCCATTAATGGACTTAACCACCATGAATTTATCCAGTTCTCTTTTAAACTCTGTTATAGTCATAGCCTTCACAACCTCCTCAGGTAAGGAGTTCCACAAGTTGACTATGTGCTGCGTGAAGAAGAACTTCCTTTTATTTGTTTTAAACCTGCTGCCTATTAAATCCATCCCCTGTAATCCAGTCCCAACTTCTGGCAGTCAGCGGTTTAGGAACATATGGGCTGCAAGGGCCCACACAAGCAGGTTTGATTACAGGATCAGAGATAACATTGTAATGGAGGGGAAAAAATTGAAGAAATATTTATTTTCTAGCATTAAAGAACAAAGAACAACATCCTTTTTAATTGTATTGTTTTTTAAAAGTAGTTAGTCTTTGCCAGGTGGCTTTTTAAAATTTGCTTCCGCCATCTTTGCAGTTAGGACCTGACATATTTGAAAAGTATATTTTCCTTTTAGGGAATTTTAAATATATTTTTGTAGACTTTTGTGAACTTTGTTCTCTTAGAAGCTTGAAAATACAGTATATTTTGCTAATAAATTTGTGGTTTCCATTTCCAAATGTTGTTTTTTATATGAATTGGGTAAGAGGAGATTAAGAATGCTTCAAATAATGTTTTTCTAATATGTAATAGATGAAAACAGAAAATATAGTATTCTTTGGTTAAGTAGAATGCAAAGTGTCAAGAAACTGGCATTCTTTTTTTTTCTGCTAGAAAATTCACTTTGAACTAAAAATGCCTATAGTGTTTTTTTTTTAAAGATTTCCAAGACCTGTACATGAAATATATAATAAGGGTTTGAAAGCTATTGATAAACTTATTCCACTGATTTGTTTTGAAAATGTTTTCTTAGACAAGAACAATTACAAACAATTACTGGGAGCCCTGGATTACTCATTTCTGTGTGCTTATGCAGTTGGAATGTATTTGAGGTAATTCCTTTAGACTTTTTTCCATATTTCTTGAATTATTGATTCAGAAGGCTGCACTGCTTCTAATCTGTTAGTCTTAAAGGTGCCACAGGACCCTCTGTTGCTTTTTACAGATTCAGACTAACACAGCTACCCCTCTGATGCTTCTAATCTGTTATCCTTCCCTTTTGGGAAGCTTCTGATGAATGATCACTGAAGAAGGAAGGAGAAATTTGGATTGTCTCACACACACAAAGACCTGATTTTAGGGCTTGTCTACACTACCGCACGGGGTCGATCTAAGATACACAACTTACTTAGATCTACTTACTGGTGTGTCTTCACTGCTGTAAATCGACAGCTGACGCTCTCCCGTCGACTCTGCTTGTACTTCTCATTCTGGTGGAGTACTGGAGTCGACGGGAGAGCGCTGGATTGATTGCTGCCTGCCGATCTGGCACGTATTGTAGACAAGCCCTTAGGCACGTTTTTCACAGTGACTATCCTGAAACCCTTACAGAAATTCATAGGAAGGATTCTTACTCCCTTGAACTGAAATGTATCACAGGTGACAATCAAGCCCATATACATCAATGAGTATGTCTAAATAGCAGCTGCGTAGTTTAATTCCCAGATCTGGTAGACATACACACTGAGGCTATCATGATTAAAAACAGCAGTGTGGCTGTGGTGGTATGCGTGATGGCATATGTTAGCCACCTGAGTACATACTAGGATCTTGGATAGGATTGTATTCAGGCAGCAAGCCCAAGACACAGCCTGCACTGCCACATCTGTGCTTCTATTTTTAGTGCACTAGCTCAAGCAGGGCTAGCACATGTATATCTGAATGAGCTGGGAATTACACCTCCCCACTGCTGTGTAGATACACTCAACGTGAAGAATCACGTGGAAAGTAATTCCCATTATGCCCACAGTAAAACCATTCAGTTCTCATAATATCAGCATTTGTTATGTAATGCACCAAATATTTATTATTTAATTGCTTGATTTTTAGTTAAAATTTCTGTTGAAACTTGCAGGGAAAACCCTAATAGATCCAGAATTTGAACATCCTCTTTATGCGCTATGAAAGTTTGGTGTGTGAAATGTTTCATGTTTCTTTTAAATGTTTTTTTCTTTACCCCTGTACATTCTCAGTGGTATAATAGGAGAGCGACTGCCTATCCGGTATTATCTAACAGCTGGAATGCTTGCCAGTGGACTCTTCACTGCAATGTTTGGGTTGGGCTATTTCTATAATATACATAACCTGTGGTTCTACATGATAGCTCAGGTAAGCATACTGTTGTTTGTTTCCCTAGATTCGTTGGCTTTCTATATTTATTTATTCAGATGTGAGTAGCATTTAATGGTTACATGGCGAGATGCATTCCATTCTGGTTTGAATGTAATTCAGTTTTGTTAAGAGATTACTTGCCATAGCGTCTCAAGAAATACATAGTTTTAAAAATAAAGATATGTTTTAAATGAAATATTTTTTTTAAAATGAACTGTTTAAAATCCCAGATCATTCACGTGTGTAAACCTAAACGTGAGAAATAATATACCTTTGAGAACAAAGACATTTACTTTTACCTGTCTGCTAAGACCTGAGTGTAGGGTACTGTCTTTTTCTGAGCAGTTTCCTGCACTGGTGAAAAGTGTTCAAGATATTGCCAGCTGGTGCAACAAAAACCCATGGAGTGGAATTCTCAGAAATCTTGTGGGTCTGATCCAAAGCCTGTTGAAATCTATGGAAAGACTTTACATAGACGTCGATGGACTTTGGATGAAGCTTTAAGTGAAAAGCAGTGGGACTTGTGCTCCTAAATCATTTAGGGTATGCCTACACTTAGAGCGGGAGATGTTTAATTCCCAGCTCAAGGAGACATACCCATGCTAGCTCTGATCAAGCTAGCATGCTAAAAATTAACTGTAACTGTGGCAGGGCGAGCTGTAAAAGAGGCTAGTTGCCCTGAAGTAGGTACCAGTCTGAGACCAAAGACACGTATTCAAAGCAGTTAGCCCCTCCTACCACTGCTACACTTAGACTACATACTTGTGGTCTCCGTAATCGGGGTGTCTTGCTCCTCCCGCTGCCTGAGCTGCCACAGGTACTGTTTATTTTTAGTGTGCTAGCTTGATCAGCTCGATCAGAGCTAGCCTGGGTATGTCTCCTTGAGCTGGGAATTATGCCTCCCTCTCGAAGTGTAGGCATACCCCTAGATGCTTTTGAAAATCCCACCCAGAGTTATTAAAGCTGCTTTTGATAGGTAAATTACAACAGTTTGCCTGAATACATTTTATTTTGTTTTTTAAACTGTATATTGTAAATGTGAACTATTATGTTATCCCCATGGTATTAGTGACTTGGGATTTTAGGATGGAATCTTCAAGGGAGCCTAAGAGAGTGAAGTGCCCCATTGATGGGAGTCAGGTACCTAACTCCCTTAGTATTCTTCGAAAATCCCAGCCTTAAACAGGTTGTTAAAGAACTTCATTTCAACTTCAACCCTAAGACTGAATTTAGTATATATGAAATTTGTCCCTTCAGTTTATACATCTTTTCTTTTAGTCCTTTTAAATTCTAGGTTCTACATTCTTTCATAAGGCTTTGTCTTTTGAGCATTTATTTTCATCCATACATTTCCCTAAACTCATATTCAGGTGAAAATATTATGAAGTGGTTAGAGCAGTGGGAGTTAAGAGCCCTTAGCACTGTCACATTCCGTGTGATCTTTGGCAAAGCCTGAGACAACAATTTGTGGAGGTTTGCCCTATAAAAAGCTTTGAAATCCTTGGATACAAAGTGCTGTATGTATAAAGTCTTACTTTATTTTTGCTGAATAATGGTGTTTGGGGGAAAATATTAATCTAATATTAATGATAATGTAGGCTTGTTCTTATGCAATTTAGGATCTTCTAAGGAAGCACTTAGCATGAAATTTTATGTAAGAATTTTCATATTCATAAAATGTTTTTTGAAATATGATTTCAGATAGCTAATGGATTGGTGCAAACCACTGGTTGGCCCAGTGTTGTTACCTGCATTGGCAACTGGTTTGGAAAAGGAAGGTAAAAATATACATATTTTTTAAATACTGGGACTATATGTGGGTGGTTTTTAGGCCTTAATACAAAACCTGATGAAGCCAGTGTAAGAACTCCTGTTTAGTTTCAGTGATTTTTGAATTAAGCCTTTAAGGAAGATCCTTTAAAAATACGTAATTGCCTGTTTGTCATGCGTAGGCGGCATGTGACTCTTGCGTTTGGGGAGGCTGGGTGGGAGTATGAGGAGCTCCCCAGAAGTATGGGGGGAGGGACCACTGGCACCCGTACTGTGGCCCCACTCCACCCAAAGGCCTTGCCCCCACTTGGCCACCTCCTCCTCCCGAAGCCCTGCCTGCACTTACACCCACCCCACCCCAAGACTTCACTCCTACTCCACCTCTTCCCACCCCTGCCCGCTAGGGTTGCCAGGCGTCTGGTTTTCGAAAAGGGACCCTGGCAGCTTCGATCAGCACCAATGACCAGGCCACTAAAAGTCCAGTTGGCGGTGCAGCAGGGCTAAGCCAGGCTTTTTTCACAGTTTTTATAATACAACTCAAAGTATGAATTTAAAGAGGTTCTATATGGCAGATGGATTAACAAAAATTTTTGCTGTTTCATAGTGCTCACTTTTTTCAAAGCCAACTTTTTCAGTCCTGCAGTGGGGGATATTTTACTGTTGTTTTGTAACATCATACAGTGTTTCTCCATAGCATTGTGGTAGCTGCACAGTAAATCCATTGGCACCAATGGCAGTTGCACAGAAATAATTCACATTAATGCTACTCTAGGATCTGATGTCCTTATTATAGATGCTACTGTCTGATCAGTAAGGGTATGTTACACTACAAGTACCTACAACAGCACAACTGCAGCTCTGCAGCTTCACCGCTTCTGGGCCCAAGAAATGAACACTGACTGGTGGGATCATATCATATAATTAGGGTGACCAGATGTCCCGTTTTTAAAGGGACAGTCCCGTTTTTGGGAACTTTTTCTTATATAGGCACCTATTACCCCCAACTCATGTCCCATTTTTTCACAGTTGCTATCTGGTAACTCTACATATAATGCAGGCTTGGGATGATGAGCAGTGGCTATAGAATTTTCAGATGTGCAAGGCCGCATCCCTGGATCTGTGTGCTGAACTCACCCCAGCCCTCCTGCACCAGGACACCAAAATGAGAGCTGCACTGATAAGGGAGAAGCGAGTGCCAATCACACTGTGGAAACTTGCAAAGCCAGATTGCTACTGTTCAGTGGGAAATCATTTTGGAGTTGGAAAATCCACTGTGGGGGCCGTTGTCATGCAAGTGTGAAGGACCATTAATTGTTTCCTGCTATGCAGGACTGTACTCTTGGCAGTGTGCAGGACATAGTGGATGGATTTGCAGTAATAGGGTTCCCAAACTGCAGTGGCACAATAGATGGCACGCATTTTGGCACCACCCCACCTTGCCACAGAGTACATCAACAAAAAGGACTACTTTTCTGTGGTTATTGCAAGCATTGGCAGATCACCGAGGATGCTTCATTAACATCAATGTGGGTAGAACGTGCATGATGCTGCTCACATCTTTAAGAACACAGGACTGTTCAGAAAGCTTCAAGCAAGGACTGACTTTCCTGACCTGCAAATTACCATTGGTGATGTTGAAATGCCAATAGTGATCCTGTGTGATTCCACCTACCCTTACATCAACCTAACTTTTATAGTGTCGACCAGGCTGAATTCTTCCATTGACCTAGCTACAACCTCTCAAGGGGCTGGATTTACTACAATGACAGAAAATCCCCTTCTGTCACTATAGCAAGTGTCTATGCTACGGTGCTGCAGCTGTGCTGCTGTAACAGTTCTAGTGTCGACATAGGTGATTCAAACTAAGAACACATCTTACTTTTTCCTAGTAAAAATGCATCTTTAGTACCTGATCCAAAATCCATGTATTTCAATGCCCTTAATCAGGCTAAAAAGCAACAGAGGGTCCTGTGGCACCTTTAAGACTAACAGAAGTATTGGGAGCATAAGCTTTCGTGGGTAAGAACCTCACTTTTACAGTTTCAGACTAACACGGCTACCCCTCTGATACTTAATCAGGCTAGTAGGTCTCAATCATGTCAGATTCTGAATAATGCCCATATCCTGCACAAGGAAGCTCTTAGGATACATTCATTAATGTTTAGGTACTTTGAAACGGTCAGGTAAAAGGCAGCATAAAGGGTTATGTACAGTTATAGAGTGATAAGGACTCAAATATTTCAACAGTGCCAAAGATTAACTGCTGTCTGTCATTCTGTATGCTACTTAATAATGTTTATGAGCAGACTAACTAAAATTGGCATCCTTTTGAATGCAGGAGAGGTTTGATCATGGGAATCTGGAATTCTCACACTTCCGTAGGGAATATCTTAGGATCCTTAATTGCTGGTTACTGGGTATCTACCTGCTGGGGTCTGTCTTTTGTGGTTCCTGGTGTTGTTATTGCTTGCCTGGGGATCGTTTGTTTTCTGTTTCTCATTGAACGTAAGTATATATTTCCTTATTTTGATTTTTATTTCTACAAAATTGTGTTGCCCATCCTATGCTAGGAACCTGCATTACACAAATTAAAATCCACAATGCAAAATACCTATAAAGGGCTGCTCATACCTAAATAAATAGCCACCAGACACTCAGGTCATATCCTTCCCAGAAGCTACGTGGAGAAAAAGATGGGATTTTCAGCATGTTCAGAAGGTCAAGATGTGACATCCTAAGGGGGTAGTTGCAAAGTCCTAGTCTGATCCCCTGCCAGCAGCTCTCTCATTTATAGCTCAAGGGTCTCTGCTAATCACAACTCTGGCCTGGGGAGAAAGGCCAGCTCTCAGGTAACTGGTTTTAAACCCATTTAGAGCTTTACAGCTTTAACACCAAGTCCTTGAATTCCACTCTGAAATTTACTGGGAACTAGTACAAATCATGGAGCACGGGTGTAATGTGCTCCTGATCAGGACTTCTACTTAAGCTGGCCACGGCATCCTGCATGAGTTCTTGTTTCTGAGTGGTCTTAAGGCAGAGCACCATGTGGAGTGATTGCAGCAACATGATACCCTGCCAGAATGTATTTGTCCTACTTCACCCCAGACCATATCCTCTTGAACTTGTATCTTCACTTGACTTCAGTGAGTCTACTTGTGAGGCAAGGGTCAGACTCCACATATGGATGGGGGAATCAGGGTATTCCTACTCTGATAATATATGACATCTTCACTTGACTTCATATGCATTGTGTCTGACTGAAAATAACTTAACTGTGCTCTTTGTCTGTGGGCTGAATATTAAAGAAAAGAAACAAATATTATATCTGTAGGTCAAAATGAATGTGGTTTTTTTTTTTTCATTTGGGGCTAGACCAGGGGTGGGCAACTTTTTGGCCCGAGGGCCACATTGGGTTGGCGCAACTATGTGGAGGGCTGCACCTCCCCAAACAGCCTGGCCCCCACCCCCTATCCACTCCCTCCCACTTCCTGCCCCCTGACTGCCCCCCTCAGAACTCCTGACCCATCCAACCCACCCTGCTCCTTGTCCCCTGACCGCCCCCCATCCCCTATGCAACCCCCCTGTCCCCTGACTGCCCCGACCCCTGCCACCTGACAGCCCCCCCCGGGACTCCCACCCCCTATCCAACCGCCCTCTGCTCCTCGTCCCCTGACCACCCCCTCCCGGGAACCCCAGCCCCTAACTGCCCCCCGGGATCCCACCCTCTTATCCCAACCTCCCCTGCTCCCTGTCCCCTGACAGGCCCCCCAGGACTCCTACTCCCAACCCTCCCTGTTCCCCATCCCCTTACTGCCCCCCCAGAATCTCAGCCCCATCTAACCATCCCCTCCTCCCTGACTGCCCCTCAGAACCCCCCGCTCCCCGCCCCCTTACCAGCAGCAGGAGCTCACAGCCGCGACACCCGGCCAGAGCCAGCTGCGCTACCCACGCTGCCCAGCGGGAGCGGCAGGCCAGAGGGCGGCCGGCGTGGCTGCGGTGGAAGAGGGACAGTGAGGGAGGGACTGGGGACTAGGATCCCTAGCCAGAGGCTCAGGGGCCGGGCAGAACGGTCCTGCGGGCCATAGTTTGCCCACATCTGGGCTAGACTATACCAGAAAGTTTTACTGCTTTAATTATGGTTTAAAGCAGCAAGAATGTGCACCTGTGTGCATGCATGCAGTGTGGAGGCAATTATATCAGTATAGAAGTGCTTATACAAAAGTAGCTTATGCTGGCTCAGGGAGCAAAATAAACTCTACCAATATAAGGCATCTGTATACCAGTATACTGCATCTGTGCTAAGGCTTATACCAGTATAACTGCATCAGTAAAAAAAATCATACCCTTATCAGGCATAGTTATACCGTTATAGCAACTTTTCTAAGTGCAGACCAGGCATTAATATCAGCAGGGTTTTAGGAGAATGATTCCTTATGTTTGATTAACTGGTGTTTTGTTGTATTTCAGACCCTAAAGATTTAAGTTACTCTTGCAAACCATCCAGTGTAAGTGAACATTATTGTAATATTCATTGTTATATTTCATGTTACTTTTATTTTTTTAATGGATAAATAGGACAACATTTGGTAGTTATAGTATGAAACTAGCCTTCTGGTATACATTTGAACAACGAGAGGCTGTAATACCTGTCAGGGAAATGAATTAAGCTTGGTGGTAGGGCTTGTGATAATGTAGTGTGTTGGTTTTGTAGTGGAATTCAAGTATTATTCATGCGGTTTGCTGCGGAGAGAGGAGTGGCAATAAAAATTGGAGTTTTGAGGGGGGTTGATTTTTTTTTTTTAAATTTAAAATTGATTTTTTTATTTTGTTTAAATTAGCATAAGGAACAGTGTGAGGGGGAAGATCTCCACAACGGGATCCTCATGTAGATGTATTTTCTCCTGCCCCCAGATTTCACTGGGGTAAGGAATGATTTGGGTCTATATCATTTGCCTTAATGATATCCTTTGGCATCCATGCATCCAAAGATGAATTGTACATTGAAAGAAAATGTCCAGTGTCTGTTTTGAATATATTGATTTTCTTAATTTTGCATGCAGTCTTGTTCTTCTATGGTAATTTAGGGTAGATTGGCCTTCTCTGTAGCATGTATTATTTCTTGTACTGCTTTCTCTTATCCTCTTACTATTCTCCTCTCTAAAGGACATAATCTTTAATATTTTCAATCTCTCCTGATATAAAGTTTCTGATCATTTTAATTGCCATTGTCTCAAGCACATGTTTTTGGCTTTATCACATATTTTGGTCACCTCATTTCAGAAAATACTGTACTGTCTATATTTTCTATTCAATTCTTTCGCATTTTTTAAATACAAGCAAATCTATTACTGGATTGAAGTTACATGACTCATAGACACTTTGAGCTGGAAGATATTTTTCTTAAGTATTTATTTGCTACCTATTGAGAAACATCCTGGTGAATGTTTCAATCACTTCATACAGTTACTAGAAAGAAAGATAGATCTCAGAATTTGCCACTAAGCTTTGCTGAGGTAAATGTATTCCATTCACTTCAGTGCGCTGTTACTGAAAAGCATTGTTAAAGAGCTCTGCACAGCATATTGCTTTTCTGCCTTACCAAAAGCTGACATGAAAGAAAAAAATGACTTTCAGCTATATCTGTCTTGATGCTGTTGAACCAAAAAAAAAAAAAGGCAATTGAGGATTTGTTTTCTTGCAGCCACCCCCCCCCCCCCAAAAAACAAGAGGTCATTGACTTCTCATGAACATCAGCAAGATAATTGCCTCACACCCAGCCTCATTGTCTGATGCATTTGACCTACTGTTTCCATGGAAACCTTGCTCTCTGGAGCATAAAGCATCACTCCCTCCCACAGATTCTTATTTGCAATCCCATAGGAGGTTTTAAAGACATTTCTCTCCTAGACTTCACTCAGAAATAGCTCCAGAATGCAAAACTTGCCAAGAGTTCAGTAAATCCTAGGAAGTCACATGATGTTTGAATGTGGGAATACCTCAAATTTAAAATTTGAGGTCCGAAAAGTACAGAGTACCTTCAACTCCTGTTAACTTCAGTGCACTCTCCTTCTGTATTCACCACAGGATTAATTTGTAGAAGTTAAACCAATTAATAGAATATTGATTAACAAATCTGGTTGCTGAAGTGTAGCTGAATGACAACTGAAAGGATACAGCTACGGTATTAGCACAATAAACAAACAAAAACCTTGGCCCTGTTAGACTAGCTGCAGAATTTTGCAGGAAGGCATAAAATTCTAGCTGCCACTTTGTTTTCAGTCCTTCTGAGAAGCAAATTCCCATGCGGCATGGGTCCCCTTGAAAATTTTTAAAACATTTTTGTAAATAATAATTCAAGAGTATATTTGAATCTACGAGCAGAGACAATCTTCTAATTGCAGGTGAAGCAATACAAACTTGAAAAGTTACCATGAGGAGTAGTTCCTCCAGAGAGAGTAAATCTAAGGCACCATCTGTGAGCTGGTCTGGTGATATTTTTTTTTTTTCATGTCCTCCATAATTTGAAGCCTCACAGGATGCCCAGGTCCCTCCATACTTTTAAGTGACTACACTGTAAGTTACAAGCTATTCAAAAATTGATCATTTTTCCTCCCAAGTCAGTGGCAGAGACTGGAACAGAACCTAAAACACCTAACTCCAACTTTCTCCACAGATTTCTCAGGATACCCATTGTCACTTGTATCTGGCTTTGCTGTGTTAAAAAAGGAGTTCTAACTGGAAACACACTCATGAAGATAATTTCATTTTAAATTAAGTTTTTCAACAATCCCCAAAATAGAAGGTGCACTTAAGTGCTTTGGCCATTTTACCTTGGTTTGTGTACTTGTGAAATGTGTTTCAAAATATTTCAGAGTCTGGTGTAAATGCCAGAAGTGGAGTCTTTGTCTAAACTTTCCACAGAGATCTACTCTCCACAAATGCTGTAATTCAAGCAGTCTATGCAATCTGCAATAAAGGAATTTGATAAATGACAGTAGAGGGCAGATTTAGTGGCATTTGTAATAGGGAAAAAAATGTAAAAATTATGTGAAGATTTGGTATCTTCTTTTTCATTGCTTTAATCTAATCTCTCGTTCACTGCTCTTGCAACCCTGCATCTTGTAGTCCCAATTGATCAATACATATGAACACGTTGAAATTCTTTTGTTCTAAGAACTCTTTTAACATGGCTTTTCCTTTCTGTGGAAATATCAGTTCTTTTAAAAATTCTTGTGGTAAAGTTCTTCCATAACTGGAAGACTCCATACTTTTCAACTTCTTACTTCTCTCCAGAAGATAAAGTGTAAATATTTAATATGTAGCCTCTCAGTCTAGTCCTCCTCTCCAGATATTTCCTCTTTACCAGAGTATATTGCATTTAAACAGTGAAATGGAAAAAAAAGTATTTCACTTTTTCTCTTCTTAACCTTTAGATAAAGATATAGCTGGTCTTTCCTCAGATAATAGATTTTCTTTCTGCTAGATCATTATAATTCACTTCCCAAAACGACTCTTCTTTTCAGTAAGACCATTTCTAGTATGTATTTTGCAGAACCCTTGTTTTTGGACTTTGGCCCATCAAGGATGATTACTTCAATCTTTGACTGCACTTTACCTTTTATGGATTATACATAATTTATCCTCATCTCTCCATAAATTTTCTGTACTGGAGGAATGAACAAGTAAAGAACAACAAAAATATGCATCCATACACTTTATCTGGGGCAAATTTTGTGTATATTTCCTTTTAAATTAAGACTTCAGATATGGACAGGGCATGCTTTTCTGACTATATTTATTTTTTACATAGCATTCAGGATGTACTAAGGCACTTAGTAAAGTTTAGTGCCTCCTTCTGCTCCTCTAATGTAATACGCAACTGAACACAGCCCCATGTTCTCTCTACCTGGTGGTGAATATACATTTAAGGTTTACATGTAAGCTACCCAACCCACACACTTCATATCAATGGCAAATCTTTTTAGATAAAGTGTCATATGGTGACATATTTCAAAGAATGCAATTTCAGCATGCATTGATGTGCAACTGTGCATGCAAATGAATGGCTATATTTACAGGAAAGCAACTATTTTAGATCTGTTCCAGTTGGGGGCCTGGGGAGCCCACAGAGGATAGATAGGATCAGATCCTCGGGGGGGCGGGAGGAGGAAGACCCCAAAGACAACAACTATAACCGTGGTGCCCCCTTCCTGTGCTCAAACAGCTAGAATGAATATTTTATATGAGAATGTGAGAAACCTTTATCTTCAATGGGGAGGGAGGAGGAGAGAAATTGTTCCTTAATAGCAGTCTCTGAAATAAATGGATCAGTTTAGGAAGTCGAATTGTGATTAAAGTATTGTTACAAAATGTGGATTTTGTAGTGAAAAATGTCGAAGTCATTAAGTGGAATGAGCTCAAAATCTGAATTTCCTGTGCCGCTCCTGTGTACAGCACAATTTGAAATGAGAATATATAAAAGTGCCTTCTCTTTCACATTTTGCAAGATTCACAGAACTCCACCTGAATTTAAAATAACTAGAATGTACAGTCATCAAACCATAAGTTTTTCCACTTGGCTTTGCATCTGAGGTGTGATGAACATAGATCTTTGGTATGTAAAAGTAGGGTCTAACCCTACTTCTAGCATCAGTGACTTCTTTAAGGTAGTGCTTTTTTAAATTGTTTTTCAGAGCTCAAAGTCCTACATGAATGGTACAAATAAATTCAGAGTCCATAAGCCAACCTTAAATCTTAAAGAAACCAACAATCTTCAGGTAAAATGAAATTTCTTAAATTAAAATTGTATGTAAGATTTTCTAAGCTCAGATATAATCTTTCCAATGAAAATGGCTTTACCCATGAATGTTTCAATCTGCTAAAGATCTTATAGAAAAATATAAATATAAAAATATTTCAACTTACTGTAAACAGTGTTTTAGGGGGAGATTTTTCAAAGACACAAAAGACAGCTAGGTGACTGACTGCCCTTTATGCATATGAAAATCTTTCCCTTAATTTCTTCTGTAGTGTCCCCTTAGTGTTTTTTGCTTTCGGCTGGAGATTTACTGCTTCTTAAAAACAATGACATATTTAACAACTTCTGTGCCCTATTGTCCTCGCCTACAAAACCAGTTGCATTGGTTCTGTGGTACACTTTGAGTTCTTCAGAATGAAAATTTAATTTTAAAAGAAGGGGAAGCGTAGCGAGAGCAGTGTGAGCAAAATTCACAGTAGCGATAAGGGGATGAGCATAAACCAATAGCCTGGATCAAAAACATCCCCAAATTTGGGAGACCTTCAGATCCCAACATTGTAGTTGTGACCAATTTCTGCAATAATCGCATCCCTGAGTTTCATTTAGGAGAGCAGAGTAATGTGCTGTACACTACGCGGCACAAATAACCAAAACTTAAGTACCTTTCACTCTGCAGCCCTTTGTTTACTAAATATACTATGAAGGCCAAGAACATAAGAACAAGGTTCAAAAAAGAGCTAGATAAATCCATGGAGGATAGGTCCATCAATGGCTATTAGCCAGGATGGGCAGGGATGGTGTCCTTACCCTCTGTTTGCCAGAAGCTGGGAATGAGCGACAGGGGATGGATCACTTGATGATTACCTGTTCTGTTCATTCCCTTTGGGGCACCTGGCACTGACCACTGTCAGAAGACAGGATACTGGGCTAGATGGAGCCTTGGTCTGACCCAGTAGGGCCATTCTTATGTTCTTATGATATATTACAAGGGAATGTATTTGATTATTCACTAATGAGTAGAGGAGAGACCATTTCCCCCACATCATATTAAGGGACAACACAGCTGGTTTTGTTTCTTTGGTGTTATCCGAAGCCCATTAAAGTCTATGTGAGTCTTTCCACTGAGTTCCAAGGACTCTGGACCAAGCCCTTACTGATGAGCAGCTATTTTACGTGTTCCTCCTTTCATTCTAAGGCCTGAGTTATGCCTGGTAAGCAGAGCCTGTAATAAGGCTTGATGTGCAGCTGAACCACTCCAGGGGAACAAAATGGCTCCTGGAGCTCCCTGCGGGAGAGGAGTAATTTGCTACACCCTATTACTGTGCCGAATAGACCTTATCACATAGCTAACAAGCTCTCCTGGTTTGTAGGGTGGAGAAACAAAGGCATGATTTCAAGTATCAGAAGGGTAGCCGTGTTAGTCTGTATTCACAAAAACAACGAGTCTGGTGGCACCTTAAAGACTAACAGATTTATTTGGGCATAAGCTTTTGTGGGTAAAAAACCCACTTCTCTTCAAAGGCACGATTCTGCCTTCTCCACTTCTGTCTTGTTGCTGGCAGAGGAAGCAACTTGTTAGCGGCGCCTGCACTCCCCTGAGTGCAGGGACTTCTGATTCTGGAGGTCCATTACGTGGGCCTCCCATGGAAGGCAGAGTCCATGCTCTCTCTCCCTTCTGTGCAGGCATTGGCCACAGTTTAGCCCTCTGACTTTTTGGGAAATGGTTAGTTATTTGTGTGCATAATATGTAACTTTTTGAGCGGTTGGACTTCAGCATGGAGACTGAACATTCTGGGTTGGGAGGCACCTCTTCCCACCCTCCATGCTGAGAACATCTATATAGAAAAGGAATAGAGTTATTCTCTCTCCCCATTGTACATACTTATTTACTGAACTTTGCAGGCCCTTTCTTTGCAAAAACAATCCTTCTGAAAATGAGAACTGAGTGCAGTCTAAGTGTAGTATTCATGATACTGGACAATGTAACATCTCATTTCCTTGGCCAAATACAGCTCTGAATATCACCTGAGGACCATTTTTTAAAGGTTTTCTACAGGTGCTAGGTGGTTACTTGGTTGCTTGTTTGTCATATAGACTTTTTTTTAAAATGAGAGTAGTCTTCATCTAATTCTCTGTGGGGAGAAACATACAAAAAAACTACCCCTGGGTAAATACTGCCAAAAATGTTGAGATTACTCATTCTTAAACTGCTCCCACTGTGTTTGCTCTCCGCAGTGGCCAGTGAGTTTACTTGCAGGAATATTCATGGAAACAGAAAGGATTTTAATCTATTAGAAGTTATTGACAGAAGCAAACTTTACATTTGTAAATGAGTACTGGTATTCACACCAGAAAACAGATTCTGGATTTGTCCCTTCAGAGAAAAGAAATATCTTGTGACCAGAACAAAACAAAAATCTTCGTTTCATTTCAAAATGTTGATGTGAATCTAACCACTTTTGTTTTCACGTCTTCCTGTGGTAAAAATTGAAATTTGTTTCTCAGAATTGATTATTTTCTCCCCCAAAAATTCAGTTTCAATTGCAAAGTCATATTTTTTAGGTAGGAAAACTTTCCACACACCATACCTCAACCAGTTCTACTTGTCACCTATGTGTTCAATCAAAATTAACCAAACCATTCTGAACTAAGTATATTCACTGTCTACAGTGAACTGTTTGAGTACAACCTGCAGCCCAGATGTTACTTGCCAGTATTATGCTCTGAATAATTTTAAAATAATGGCAAGAGTCTTGAATCTCATAAGCTGTTTTTGGACAATTCATAAACACAAAGAGCTGAAATTTGAAAATAAACTGTTGGCTGTAATTTGCTCTGCCAGCTCTAATCATAATTCTCAGTAATTGGCACTCTTGTTGTCAGTTTGTGCAGAGAGGCTATAGACTGAATGGATAAGGAGACTTTATCCTGAGAGGTGTTCCATCTTGATCATGACAGACGGACACTGGCTGAGCAGCACTGGGGTGCTTGCTGTCAAATCTGTCAGAGTTAATGTGTGTTTTCTTTGCTATCTGTGTTAGTTGTTCATAATGGTGAGAAATAACGAGGCAAAAAATGTTCTCTCTGTTTTTGAGACCTTGCCCTTTCCCCCTCCAGTTGAGGATAACTGTATCTAATCTTGCTCTTGTAAATGTGGAGTTGAATATATTTTTTACAATGGCTACACTATAGCTAAGCTAAGGTTATCATAGTTCTGCTTCTTGCTGCCTGTACAAACAGCAGATGTTCAGTGGTTTTAGAACTAGTCAATTCCTAGCATGCTAGATTGGCAGCTCTGACTGATTCTTAGCTGACCACTCTAAACAATATAACAAGAAAAATAATATTCAATATATGCAACAAATAAAAGCAGAATGTGTTTCTAGATACATTACCTGTCATGTCAGGTTGGCCTCTTAAAATTATACACTATTGAGCAATAATAAATCCTTCCCCAGAGCTCAGGAGTGTACCATATGTCTGTTCACTCTCACTGACAAAGCTGAAAAGTATTATCCCTGCCAAGCTCAAATTGCTTTTTCCTTATCTAGCTCAGTCTAGCACTTACCTCCAAGATATTGATATATATCTCCAACTTGAATTGCTAAGAGAGGTGATATGTGTTGTGTATTGGTAACTTCCACTTCAGAATTATCATTTCTTTGCATTAGTAAGCTTAGAGTCACCTGTCTGAGAAATGAGCAGCATTTACTCAGACAATTCCAATCAGGCTATTGTGCTTACAGGTATCCTGCAGGGTTTACTCTGCCCTTATTCAAGCAACGCTCCTTTGGAAGTCAATAGGAAGTTTTCCTGAATAATGACTGAAGGGATTTTGACCAATGTTTTTGTTTTGTGTTTGGGATTGATAGCTTGAATTGCAAATGTTAAACTAAAGTATCGATGGTGTTTCAGTTATTCAAAGATTAAAAACTGAAATTAAGTGTCTACTGCTAATTTGTTGCCATTTAAAATAAAACAAAATTATAAATCGGATTATTTCAAAATCACTCAATAGAAAGTGTCATTTTCAAATCTGTTCCATCATTTTTAAGCTGTAACATCTGTTCTCCATGTCAGTTTGTTTAATATTAATCAGACACTTTCCATCTACCGCACAAGTACGGGGTGTGGAATAATGTACCAATTTACCTTTCCAAGCTTAAATTCAAATAAATGTGGTAGTATTAAGCTCTTCACCAAGATTTAATGTAGATGTGTGATGGTTAGGAGAAGGGTGAACATACATTAAAATCGTCTTGCAGCTAAAAAGAGAAGCATTGCTAGGTCATCTTAGAGGGTGACCGTGCCATAGGGTACAGGTGAAATACTGGGTTGCTACAACTACTGAACCTATCATTTTTACAAGCTGGCAAAATAGTTTTGATGGACCTTGACAGCTTTGTATCCAAAATTTCTGCCACCACGCATGGGAGTGAGTGGTGAATCTTGGATTTAGGTTTGAACTTCCTCAAGATTCGGGGGAGAGCACGTGAGAGGTTTTGGTTCAATGTAATCTCTGGATAATTGGCTTCACACACTTAGGCATGGATTCCAGTCCCTACTCATATTGAATAGTACTTTATCCAAACAGCACTGTTGAACAGAGGTGCCAAATCAGATAGATACTTCCAAGGGAGGATGATCAAATTATGGTCCCTTCCCCACTGCCTCCTCCTGAAGGGACCCCAGGTTTCCCTCACCCAGGGAGTGTCCATCTCTCTTAAAACATGGTGCTTGAGCCAGTTTGAGTTCTCGGTGGGCTCCCCTGCACTCTGCTGTACAGGAACAGGCTCCTGGTGCGCCAGATCACCACATCATTTCACCCCGCCGCTCTTCCAAAATTTCAGTGGCGTGGTAACCCTATGCTCCAGGTTGCAACACCATTCACTGAAACGTGGCTTGGCCACCCCATTTGTACAGAGAGGAGGCCAGGTCAGACTTTAATGGCAATGTGACTACACAGCTGGAGTGTTGGTCCAGACCGCTCTGGCAGCAGCTGTATTTGTTTAGTATGGG